ACCTCACGACTAAGTCTACTGATGTCCCTAAGGAGAAAAAGTCTGATTGGGAAAAGATCGACTACCAACTTCTGAGCATCCTTTGGCAATCTATTGATCCAGTTGTCTTGGACATCTTCTATTCATTTCAAAATTGTACTGAAGGGTGGCAGGAAGCAAAAAACCTCTACACTAATGATGTTCAGCAGCTTTATTTCATCATCTCTCAGTTTATGGAACTGAGCAAATCATCCGACATTCAGATGGAGACATATATTGGCAAGAGTCGATCTTTGATGCAGGCATATTTGGATATGTTGCCTTACCCTACTGCTACCATTGCATATCGAAAACAGGTGGAACGCCTCTTTATGGTTGCCACACTGTCTGACCTCCCTGAAGAATATGATAATGTCCGGGATACTATCTTGACTAGTGGGGAGCCTGATCTTTCAATGACGTATCAGCGTCTTCTGAATCTGAATAAGAAATCTTCTCCTGCATCATCTTCTGCTGTTGATTCCACTGCTCTAGTTTCCTGTACTGACTTTCGCGGGAACATTGGAGGTGGACGTGGTCGTGGTAGAGGCCCGGGAGGACGTGGTCCCGGAGCCCCAGGAAGATGTGGCCCAGGAGGCCAGTCGGACGTGGTCAGCGACCTCGTTGTAATTACTGTCAGCAACTTGGTCATTATGAGGAACGTTGCTACACAAAGTACCCTCACCTGCGACCTTCTTATGCTCCTAATATAGCTCAATCAGATTCTGCTTCAAATGGTACAGTCTCTCTCTCCTCTGAAGACTATGCAGCATTCCAGACTCTTCTCAGAAAGGTCTCTCCTCAGTCTCAGGCCTCTGCTTCAGAAACTGGTAATCCTGTTGCTTGTGTTTCTCATTCTGCATCACTTGGCCCTTGGATATTTGACTCTGGTGCTACTGATCACCTCTGTAGTAATAAGGAACTCTTTTCATCCCTTACATATTCTGATAACTTACCCCATTTTACCCTTGCTGATGGCACTAAGGCTCCTGTTCATGGAATTGGACAAATCTGCCCAACCTCCTCATTGACCTTAACATCTGTCTATTACATTCCTAACATCCCTTACAATTTAATATCTGTTAGTAAATTGATCAACTCTCTTAACTGTATTGTCACTTTCTCAAATCATTCTGTTTCTGTGCAGGACCCGGGTACGGGGAAGACGATTGGAGTGGGCCGTGAGTCACGGGGTCTGTTCTACCTAGTTGTGTCGAATCCTTCCGTTGCTTGTTCTCTCACAGAATCTCCACAACTCATCCACAGTCGCCTCGGGAATCCTAGTCTTTCCAAGTTACAGAAGATGGTTCCTCTTTTGTCCGGTCTTCAGACTTTAGATTGTCAGTCATGTCAGCAAGGAAAGCACATACGCTCCTCCTTCGCTAATCAAGTCAATAAACAAGCTGATGCTCATTTTTTAATTATTCATTCAGATATTTGGGGTCCTAGTCGTAGTGTGTCTGTTTTAGATTTTTGGTATTTTGTTACCTTTATTGATGATTTTTCTCGTTGTACTTAGATCTATTTAATGAAAAACCGTTCTGAGTTATTTTCTATTTATCAAAAATTTTCTGCTGAAATTCATACTCAATTTGGTGCCTCTATTTGTATTTTACGTAGTGATAATGCTAAGGAATATGTTTCTGTGGACTTTCCTAATTTCTTAGCCAAACAGGGTACTTTACACCAAACTACTTGTCCTCACACTCCACAACAAAATGGAGTAGCTGAACGTAAGAATAGACACCTCATTGAGACTGCACGGACTCTTCTTATTCACATGTATGTTCCTCTTCACTTCTGAGCCGATGCAGTCCTTGCCTATTATTTTCTCATCAACCGTATGCCTTCATCTGTGCTTGATAATGACATTCCTTATCACTTATTGCTTCCATATGTTCCTCTCTATCCTCTATCCCCACATGTCTTTGGTTGTACCTGTTTTGTTCATGATCTCACCCCTGGTAAGGACAAGTTAACATCCAAAGCTTTTAAATGTATTTTTCTTGGTTATTCTCATCTTCAAAAGGGTTATCGTTGTTATTCTCCAGATCTTAAGCGTTACTTAGTTTCCGCTGATGTCATTTTTCTTGATCAACAACCCTTTCATTCTATCCCATCTCAGTTGTCACAGGTTGATCATATTCTTCATGTCCCTTTTCTTGACTTGTCTTTGCCAGCTGCAGGTACTTCTATTCCAGATAAGCAACCTATTGCTTCAATACCTGCGGACCGTCCACTTCTCACTTATCAGCGTCGTAAAACTGTGCCTCCTGTCGACTCGACTCCTGCTGACTCATTGCCCCCTACAGTTGATTTTTCCCCTCCGGATCCTTCACCAGAGGCTCTTCCTATTGCTCAAAGAAAAGGTAAACGTACTACTCGTAACCCTTATCCTCTTTATACTTTTTTGAGCTATGACCGTCTTTCTTCACCTCATTTCACCTTTGTTTCTAGTCTTTCTTCTATTTCTATTCCTAAAACCACAGGTGAAGCACTTTCCCATCCAGGGTGGCGCCAAGCGATGCTTGATGAGATGACTGCACTTCATTCCAATGGCACTTGGGACCTTGTTTCTGCTCCTCCAGAGAAGTCTATAGTTGGTTATCGCTGGGTGTTTACTGTAAAAGTTGGACCTGATGGTCATGTTGATCGACTCAAGGCACACCTAGTTGCCAAGGGTTTTACTCAAATCTTTGGCCTTGATTATGGCGATACATTCTCTTCGGTCGCTAAGATGGCGTCATTCCGCCTATTTCTTGCCCTTGCTGATGCTCGTCACTGGCCACTCCTTCAACTTGACATCAAAAATGCCTTTCTTCATGGTGATTTGCAAGAGGAAGTGTACATGGAGCAACCACCTGGTTTTGTTGCTTAGGGGGAGTCTGGAAAAGTGTGTCGTCTTCGAAAATCCTTATATGGTCTCAAGCAATCTCCTCGAGCATGGTTCAGTCGCTTCAGTTCTGCCGTTCAGGCATTTGGCTTAATCCGCAATAAAGTTGATCATTATGTATTTTATAGGATTACATCTCCTGACAAGTGCATCTATTTGTTAGTCTATGTTGACGACATCATTCTCACTGGAAGTGATCAAGACTGAATTCCTCTGTTAAAACAGCATTTATTCAGTGCATTTCAAACAAAGGACCTTGGGAAGCAGCGTTACTTCTTGGGAATTGAGGTGGCGCAATCTAGACAGGGCATTTCTATTTGTCAAGGAAGTATGCCTTGGATATCCTCGAAGAAACTGGTATGTTGGGGAGTAAACCAACTGATACACCCATGGATCCTAATGTCAAGTTATTGCCCGGACAGGGGGAGCCGTTATCTGATCCTGGACGTTATCGGAGGCTAATTGGGAAGCTCAATTATCTTACTGTGACTAGGCCAGATATTTCTTTCGTTGTTAGTACGGCTAGTTAGTTCCTTGATTCCCCTTGTGATTCACATTGGGATGCTGCTGTGAGGATCCTTCGATACATCAAAAGAGCACCATGAAAAAGTTTGTTGTAATCAGATCAGGGAAATACAGAAATTTGTGGTTATTCATATGCTGATTGGGAAGGATCACCCTCGGACAGGCGCTCTACTTTCGGCTAATGTGTCTTCTTTGGAGAAAACTTAATTTCGTGGAAGAGCAAGAAACAACCTGTAGTTGCTCGGTCTAGTGCAGAAGCTGAGTATCGTGCAATGACAAATGTTACCTGTGAGTTAATCTGGTTAAAGCAGTTGATTCAGGAGCTTCATCTTTGTGAACAGAAACAACCCATGACACTCATCTGTGATAATCAAGTTGCGCTACATATATCCTCTAATCCTGTCTTTCATGAGAGGACCAAACATATAGAGATTGATTGTCACTTCATTCGAGAAAAGATTCAATCAGGAAAAATAAAGACTGCTTTCGTCAACTCCTCTGATCATCTAGCAGATGTCTTCACTAAAGCTCTTAGAGGTCCTCGAGTTCAATACATTTGTAACAAGCTTGGTGCTCACAATATATACGCACCAGCTTGAGGGGGAGTGTTAGAATATATTAGATATGATATGATTAGTCTGATTAGATATGATTAGAGTCTGTAATTATTCTGATTGTATTAGGTCTGGGCCTTTCATATAAGCCCATTAGAGTCTCTATATATTGTAACTCTCTGAATTAGATCAATACACAACATATTATTTTATATTCAAGTGAAACCATTTGTTAATTTCATTGCCCATAATGATTACAGCTTTGCGCTTCAATATTAAGTAATTTTCTTTTGTCTTTCCTCCCCTTAAATTAACTAGAATTGCTATAAACAATTCACATAATAGCTAAACTTCACAGAGACAACAAAACCCAAGGATTGCAAGATAGCCTATAAGAATGTACCTGCAACTGACTCTATCTGAAGAAGTTGTGAAGTATTCATATTCCAATCACTGACCAGGATCTCCTTCGCTCCGACTTCATATAAATATTTAATTGTAAATAGTGCATTAAAAACTGATTGATTCTCCTGGTAACTCTTTTGCTTGAGCAATATGTTAGAATCAAATCTAACCATGACAACTTTTCCAAAAAGCTCTTCCCTAGGAAATTCTCTAAGATTTTGCATATGAGGACTATCATTCAACTCTCCTCCATTGCTAACGTAAATCTAACAGCAAAACCATAATCTTTAGAGCCACAATGAAATATACAGCCAATAACACGTTCTTTCAAGTAAGATTACAACAACCATTATTTGATATACAACCAATAACATATATTCTAACTGGTTATACTATATGATATTAATGGTCTCTGATTTTATCTAATTGATATTTGACTTTAAGAATTTAAGACAAAAAGAATCACAACACTCAAACAACACATAATGGAAAACTTGATATCCAAACAACCAAAGCATATTTATTTCTACATTAGTGCCAATAACCATTAGGCACGACTTTTTTTTGAAATAGTATATTAGAAAGTATTAGAGATATAAAATCATTCTTGGGCATGCACCTAACAACCTACAGTTTTAGAACAGTTATTCCTTCATGTGGTATCAAAACCTTTGAGACCAAGTGATTAGAACTCAGGAGTTCATTCCTAGCTCCTTTGTTCTTAATAATTAAATTGAGTTTCAACACAAGGAATGTACTTTGTCCACACTTGGAGTCCAAACTCCAAAGGGCTTTTGCATAAGGTGTCATCTTAGATATACATCCAGCAGCTTAAGCTTTAAGGAAATTTTAAGTCCTTGACGTACTATCAAAGCTTTTATGACCTAAGGGTCAGGAGTTAGATCCATGCCACCCTTGCCCTTCATATATCAACTTAAATTTCAACACAAGGTATGATGGTGTAGTGCTTAAACTTTCAGGAGATTTGGTAAGAAAGAGGAGAAAATGCATTTGGGTGACAATAAGATTTCCTCCTAATCCTAAAAGAAAAAGATATGAAGAAACGAGGAAACTAAAGTTCTCAAAAATACAACAAAGCTGTCCAATTTCTTTAACATCAGCCACAGAAATCCTCTTGAGATACTCATGAGTAGAGCACCAAATAGAAGTCATAATGACCAGATTCAATGCATTTGCTTTCTCTATGTCTTTCACCCTCTCTCATTCTCTCTCTTTTCCTTCTTAAGTGTTATCATTTATCAGAGCAAAGAAAATTCTGGCACTTCTCCAGAAGCATACTTATTGTATTAAATTTCAAAAAATATGAAATCAAGTTCAAGCACATATTATAAGGAACTGAATTTTACAATGGTGAATTTTCAAAACATAAGATTGTAGCACAAAAGGGACATAGACAGTATAGTACCTTATGGTTAAACGAGCTAGCAACATGATCTGCAAACTCCCCATTGTCTGTCAGAAACAACATCAAACAAAACAACCTTATAAGGCTTAAGAAAAATTTAAAACTTAAAATAAATAAAAAAAGTTCCCTTAAGTAAAACAACCTTGCAAAGCCAGTGAGGCACCATTATATTTCTGAAATTTTGCAACTTTTCCATTATAGGAACATTTTTTTTGTTTGAGCAATTTAGGGCTGTCAAAGAAGCAGAAATTGTTTAACAGAACTGTTCCGTGGAGTAGATTCAGAAGGTGGCCCATCATTTTCTCAAGATTGAAGCTGTTAAGTTTTCAGAACAATCAACCAATGAAAGTTGAATACATAAAGAAGAGAATAATAGCAGATACAGTAACATTTGTTCACACACACACACAGACAGACTGATAGACATATATATATAGAGAGAGAGAAAGAGATATATATATAGAGAGAGAGAGACATGTATATATATATATATAGGGGTGTGCATGGAACAGTTCATAATCGGTTTTGACGAAATCCGAAACCAAACCGGTTTTAAATGGTTTGGTTTTCAAACCGAACTGGTTTTTTTTTTAAAACCGGTTTTTATTTATCCAAACCGGTTTGAAACTGGTTTCAAAACCGGTTTATGGTTCATAACCGGTTTTGATTTAAAATCAATCAAAACCGGTTTTAGGTTATCAAGTTTAAAACCGGTTTTATAATAACTTCAAAACCGGTTTTTGATGAATTGTGCTATTTTTTTCGGAAATAAAATAAAAGTTACCTTTATTATTTTTGTTGAAATAAAATAAAATAAATTGTGCCATCATCCAATTTAAATTAGATCCAAGATAAGCTGAAGAAAAATGTTGTCATTTCCATCAACCAATTAAAAACACTCTCCAAAATACTAGTTTTTTTGCTACTGGAAACTCTTCCATGAATAACTTACTAACATGAATAGCATGCTAATATCATTTTGGTTAATTCTTCCATTTTTGTCTCATTGCAACCTTCATAGCAACCAGTGAATGTCAACATGTCCTTTTCGTATCTTAGGTGAAGCACTAAGAAATGACCTTTTTTCTTTAGAATTTTCACACTATTCTTCCCAACATGTTCTATTTGTGGAGTGAATCTCAAAGCTTTTTAATTTACACGGCACCGCAGTTTTTGAACCTCCTCAGGAATGCCATTATTGGAAATCTTGGCATCAGTTTTGGTAAAATATAGTACATGATGCTTTTTTATTTGAGGAAGAACCTGCATTATGTATACAAGAAGCACATAAAAATGTCATGTTCAAACAAGATTGCTGTTTTCATAAAATGAACCTTCAATCAGTAAGATCAGACATCAGAGAACTTACAATATGATAATCATATGACATTTTAGACCAACTAACAGGTATAATGGAATATAGGTATCTTGTATCCACCCTATTGTTCAATTCTAGAGGTAGTTCCTTCAATATTTGAATCTCATCTCTTAAAGACTGAATGAAATAATCTACATCGAATACTCCTTTACATGCATTTTATTATGCTTATGCTTGAGAGAAATAATGAATGAAACATGTTATTCCTTTATATGTTTCTAATATCAATTAGTAGTTATTATCTCTCAAGAAACAATGTGAAGATGAGGATAGTAATCATACCACAATTAATTCCATTGCAAGGGAAGAAAGTAAAGTACTCACATATAGAATATCAAAATCCCCAAAGGAACAGTAATAGTAAGTTTCATATCATATTCTAACATTATCTTGCAAGATTTTGTTGCTTCCTTTTTTGGTGCATAGATTTAGGAAATATATAGCAGCAGTACTAGTTTGTTTGAGTAAATTTGTCAAAACAGGGGAAACTTCATTAACCAAAACTAGAGAGGGAAGGGACAGACAGAATTAGCATTGAAAGATTCAAAAGTGTAACCAAACATTGCAAGCACATTAAAGAAGCATGAAATAATGAACATTAGATGAAGGCATTTTATGTGGGTCTGTCTATGTGGGATGAAAGAATCACTAGTTATAAGGTCAGACCCGTAACAGTGATCTTCATCTACTACTCCTAGAAACTAGGCAGAGAAAAGTGCCCATTTCTTCTTGTTCCTTATAAAGATATGCTCAGTGAAAAGAAAAAGAAAATAAAGCTATCCTTTATTTGCTATTGTAAAAACAACAACTAAACTTTATATCTGATGAAGCTCAAATAGAGACTCAAAAGAATTCAAGAAAATTAAAAACACCCTTCACACAGACCAAAGACCATAAATGTCAAGGACATACATAAGTCAACAAAATTTCTTTTTATGTTATTGCTTAAACTTCTTGATGCATCACCTGGATAGACATGAACATCACTTCCAGAGCAATCAAAACTATCAGAAAAAGCCTTCAACTTTATCAGTGAATGAAATACTTAAGAAGCATTAAATCTCGGAACTGAAACTGGTATATTATGTTTCCGTAAAAAACCAATTCAATGATGATTGTAAGAAAGATTCGATCATGGACCCTCATCAAACAGTAAAAGGCATGTTTCAGGAAAATTTGCCAGGAATATCAGCAAAATTAATAAGAAAACTAATCAAGCCCCAAGTTATGAACAGAGGATCCAAGACCAACAAAATCACTTAGAGACCCCATAAGATCGTAAATAACATTAGGGAGCAAAGAACATACTAAAACAAAACCAACTGAACATCAGAAAGTTAACAAAGAAAGAAGCAAGCAAGTCATTTAAGCATTCACTGAATTTCTAATCATGTAGAGTGAAAAGAAACAGATAAATTACCCAAGTTTTGAAAGAAACCTGTGATCGGCACCACAGAAATGAGCAATTGTGATCCTATAGAGGGAGGAAAAAATCAAACTTCTTTGCAGCAAAACAAGTCGATGAATCAAAAGAAAAGAAAGAGAAAATACCTGCAATAAAGTCACCGAATAAGCAAAGAAGGGTCCTTCAAAGCAAAAACCCCAATTTGGTTGGGATTGGGATGAATTTTCCCTTCAAAATCGAAGAAGAGAACTAGAGAAGAGGGTTGAGCCTATTGCAACCAGAAAAGCTAGAAATTGGAAAATTGAAGTTAAAGGGTGTTTGGTACAAGGAATTCTAGAAAATTCCCGGGAAACTGAATTTTTATAAATTTTTAATTTTCGGATATTATCGTAAACTGAATGTAAAAATTATATTTTTGAAAATCGAGATTTTCGGATAAAAAAAAATTTCTCCTCTACCAAACACCCCCTTAGGGTTCAAAATTATACATGTTCACGACGATGCTCCCTCTCAAGTCGTCACTTGGGGGTGTTTGGTACGAGGGTTTTTACAGGATTTCAGAAACTGAAATTTTCTAAATTTTAAATTTTCGAATATTATCGTAAACTGAATGTAAAAATCATATTTTTGAAAATTGAGATTGCCGGATAAAAAAAAAAAATTATCCTCTACCAAACGCCCCCTTGGAGAAAATAACAACAGTGTAAGACCAAAACAAATGGATATCCATTATTGCAAGTTTTTTTTGGGTAACCAAACAGATATAAAAATAAAAAATAAAAAATAGTTTGACATAAAACCGGTTTTTTAAATGGAGGAGAGATATTCTTACTATCAAAATTTTATTGTTTTTTTGGAAACTGATCCTAATTACCTCTTTGAGGCGAATCAGAACCCCCCGGTATCCCCACGGGTTCGACTCTTTGAGCCGCCTATGGGACTAATCCAGAGTTCGGGTGCGAGTCCAAGGATTACGGTACTTATGCCCCTCCCCAGATGGTGTTGGTGGGATTCGAACCGAGGTCCTCTCCCACCACTCAGTCCCTATGCTACCAACTGAGCCACCACACTTAGGTACTATCAAAATTTTCTACTACCAATTCACTACCTATCTTTATTTTTATTTTTGATAAACAACTCACTACCTATCTAATCACGATTGGATCAACATTTTTTTTTTCAAAAACTTTTTAGCATTCTCTCTCTTTGATTCAATGGTGATTAGATAGGTAGTAAGTTAGTAGTAAAAAATTTTAGTAGAAAGAATATCCTCCCTCTTTTAAATGTAGTCTGATTATGGACCGGTTTGTATCTTTTGAACATTTTGAATATATATATATATATAAAGGTTATACTTACAATCTTTTTTTTTACAACCTCTTACAACCATATCTTAGCAACGTTGATTTCCGACAATTAAGGGTTATGATTTTTGCAAATTAAACTCATTAATTAATTATTAATTCACAATAAATGATAACTGTTTATGGACAGAAATCAATGGTGTTAAGATATGGTTGTAAGAGGTTGTAAAAAAAAAGATTGTAAGTATAACCTTCCTCATATATATATATATATATATATATATATATATATATATATATATATATATATATATATATACTAGTGTATTACCCGTGCGATGCACGGGAGAAAAAGATTATATTTTTTGTCGTCCGCTGTGGTTGGTTAATTACACTGCAAATTTTATACTTACAAAAAAATGTGTTGCTATCTTGTTCTATATTTCAGGTGAAAAAAATTACAGCATTGACACATAACTTTAGAAATATCAACCATAAACAAAAATCTGCTATCCAGAGTGATCAATATTATGCAAATCAAATATAGTTAGCTACTCGATGAGTTATGTAAAAAATAAATACGCCATAGTCACATTTAAATTTTTATATTTTATTTCAGAGATAGACTTTCATTTATTACAATCATATTTAAAAATAATAATAAATAATTATTTTTTGCAAGGATTTGTGTCGTTTGTATTTGAAATTTTACAAATTTTTATTTACAAAAATTAAAACCAAATTTAGGAATTTAATTATAAAAGAAGAAGGATGAAATTTTAATTTAATTATAAAAATATGTTGGTGGGTCGGCCCTTCGGGTCGAGCCCAGTTTGTCACCTCTAACTATTAGCATGTAATAGGTTTTTATATTTATCCACGAAAAAAGGCTCTTATAGTTGAGTCTAAGTTTTTATATTTTATCTCAGAGATGAATTTTCATTTATTACAATTTGATTTACAAAATAATAATAAAAAATTATTTTTTGCAAGGATTTCTGTCGTTAATATTTGGAATTTTATAAATTGGTATTTACGTAAATTGAAATCTAACTAGAAATTTAATTATAAAAGAAGAATAATGGAATTATAATTTAATTATAAAAATGTGTGGTAAGGCGGGGCAGGTAGGCCCTCTGGGCCAAGCCAGTTTACAACCTTTAATTATAGCATTTTATGTAAATACTTATTTTTTTTGCAAGGATTTGTGTCATTAGTATTTTTGATTTTTACAAATTTGTATTTACAAAAATTAAAATAAGATTTAGGAATTTAATAATAAAAGAAGAAGGATGAAATTTTAATTTACTTATAAAAATGTGTTGGCACGCGGGGCGGGTAGGCCCTCTGGGCCAAGCCCAGTTTGCAACCTTTAACTATAGCATTTTATGTAAATAACTATTTTTTTGCGAGGATTTGTGTCATTAGTATTTTTGAATTTTACAAATTTGTATTTACAAAAATTAAAATCAGATTTAGGAATTTAATTATAAAAGAAGAAGGATAAAATTTTAATTTACTTATAAAAATGTGTTGGTGGGCCGACCTTCAGGGCTGAGCCCAGTTTGCCACCTCTAACTATTAGCATGTAATAGATTTTTATGTTTATCCACACAAAAAAGGCTCTTATAGTTGTGTCTAGGTTTTTATATTTTATTTCAGAGATGAACTTTCATTTATTACAATTAGATTTACAAAATAATAAAAAATCATTATTTTTTGCAAGGATTTGTGTCGTTAGTATTTGAAATTTTATAATTTTATATTTACAAAAAATTGAAATATGAATTAGGAATTTAAATATAAAAAATGAATAGTAAAATTTTAATTTAATTATAAAAACGTGTTGGCAGGCGGGACGGGCAGGCCCTCTGGGCTAAGCTCAGTTTGCAACCTTTAACTATCAACATTTTATGTAAATAATTATTTTTTTGCAAGGAGTTGTGTCATTAGTATTTTGAATTTTACAAATTTGTATTTACAGAAATTAAAATCAGACTTAGAAATTTAATTATAAAAGAAGAATGATGAAATTTTAATTTACTTATAAAAATGTAATATGTCTTTATATATTTATCCACACAAAATTGTTCTTATAGTTGCATCTATATTACTATATATCTATATTTTTTACAGTTGCCTTTAAAATCGGCTCTTTGTGGTCTGTGTATTTGTGACATATATAAGAGATAAAGAGTTTAAAAATATTTGAGTTCGTATGTTTAATATTTTATCAAACACTTTATAGTTGAAGTTGAATCGGGTAATATCGGATACCAAAAAAAAAGAATAGGGTAACATCAAAAGACCATTCATTAGTTTAGTAATATAAAAATAAATATTATGAATAGGCTTAACAAAATATTATTAATAGGCTTAACAATTTTTTATGCAGAAAGTTATGGTATTATTAATAGGCTTAACAATCACCAATGCAAAAAGTAGTGAGATATTAATATAGTTGTTTGACATCCAATTTTAAACTTTTTTTCCCACCCATGAAGTTTAAATTTAAAATATTTTTTATCAACTATAAATATATTTTTATAATTTTAAATACATTTTTTGTTTAATCTATAATTTTATATTAAATTCGAATTTATATATATCTTTTTTCCACTGCAGGAATATTAAATGCTGAACTCTTTTCCCACTTATCAAGTTCAAAATTTAAATTAAAAAGTTTAAATTTTAAATATTAAATATTTTCTCACCCAATAGTAAATATTATTAATAGACATAATAATTCTTTATTCAAATAGTAGTGAAAAATATCCGTAGAAAGTTGTGCACTTTCTCCAAATAATAGCTTTTAGTTATTCATTCATGACATATAAAGTTGTGTTAATTATACTCTTTAAAAAAAATAAAAGTTTAATTTCTTTCTTATATATACTAAATTAAAATTTTTATTTTTATAGTGATTAAATTTCTATAATTTGTTTTTTTACAGAATGATAAAGGTCAATTTATTTTTATTTAAATTTAAGATTTAAATTCTTTTGTATTAATTATACATTTTTTATATAAATTTTTCTCTTTTAATTTATGATTTTTGTACGTTTTTTAAAATCGGTTATACATGTATATTTAAGATGTTCATGTTAAATAATTTTGTTATCTTACAAATTTTTTTAATGTATTTGTTTTTTTTTTATGCAACATTGATAGGGCTTACAATTACCCATGCAACAAAAGCGGGATATACAACACAAGAAAAGTAGGTCTTTTCTACTTATAATATACAGCAACAAAAAAGTAGTGGGATATTAAATGAGCTGTCTGCCACCAAAATTTTTCCAAAAGTTTTCCCACAATTGGAAAGTGAAAAATTCAAATTTAAACATAAATTCGAAATTTAAAAGAGTTGAGTTATTATTAATTTGAAAATTCCAATGTAGAAAGGAGTGTGATTTTAAATCAGTTGTATGCCACCAAAAACTATTCACATAATTTTCCATTTAATTTATTTCCAGATTTTGAATTTATTTTACAATATAAATAATTTTGTTATTTTATAATGTTTAATGTTTTTTTTTTATGCAGCATTGATAAGGCTAACAATTATCCATGCAAAAAATAGTGGAATATACAACAAAAGAAAAGTAGAGGTCTTTTTTACTCGTAATATACAACAAAAGAAAAGTAGTGGGACAGTTTACCAAAAAAAAAGAAAAAAGTAGTGGGACATTAAATGAGCTGTCTGCCACGTAAATTTTTCCAAAATTTTTCCCACCATTACAAAGTTAAAAATTCAAATTCAAAATTTAAAGAGTCGAGTTATTATTAATTTGGAAATTCCAATGTAAAAAGCAGTGGGACATTGAATGATGATGGTTTTGACCCTGGGTTACACAAGGATGATATGATGATGCTATGTTTATGCTGTATGTCTGTATTATATGCTTTAAACCTGACTTGTTATGCAGGAAGTGGGCTCAGGGGTTAGAGGATCCTCTATGAACCTT